GTCACGCTGGTATACTTTTTTTTATCAAACTAAAAAATATATATTTACGTCAAAGGTTAGATAATTTCTTGAGAAAACCTTATAATAAATAATAAAATCTTAAAAAAAACTTACGAGCATTTCTAATAGTGCTTAAAGGGTCAAATTCCAGCCCTTGTTTGGTAGTGATGACGTCACGCTAATAATTTTTTCAAATTTCGTGAAAAAAAAAATTTAGTGAACAGATTTTTAAAAGGGAAAATTCGAATCAGTTGAATAATATTTTCTTTAGGTGTCGTCCCAATCATTTGTGTTTTCACAAGACGAACAGTTCCATACAAGTCAATCCATGCAATCAACCCGTGTTTCACATTTTGACTTTTTACACGAATAGGAATTAACTGCAAAACATCTTCTGAAGCAGTTCTAATGAGCATCAATTTAATCTCAAGTTGATTGCCAATTTCTTGCTATCCATATCCATTGGGTTTAGGAATATTGAGATGTGCCTCCAATGATTGTTTGACAATTACTGTTTGATACGAAACTCTCTTGCAATGACACATAAAAGCATCCCTAGTTGGCAGAAACTTTTAAGGTTCCGGAGCTTCTTTCTTGGCAATAAACTTAAGGTATCTTCCTTCTTTTGTATCACTGCATTATAATTTTTATAATTGACATATAAACTTTTCGATTTGGTCAAAATGGGTTATATCAATGGTATAAGAGTCCCCAACCTTGGAAAAATTGACTTGTACTCTTCAGACTGTCTCATAAGTTTGAGGAACTTTGACTTACCAATCCCGTAAAATTCACTTGTATAATTGTTCCCGCTAAATGCATGAAGATCAAGAAGAGCTTTACAACAATCAGTACCTAACTGTGAGGCAATAAGATTTATATCAAGAGTCCGTCTTTCAGTAGAGACGCCAATACCCACAAATAATTCTATTTGAAGTTGGTTTTGAAAGTACAAAGCGTAAATAGCAATATCTGTGTCAACCGTGTGAATGCAAACGGTTTCAAAACCAATAGATGCATTAAATATAGGCAGTTTAAAGTATGTTTTTTTTAAAAAACAAAACCTCGCTGCGAATCTCTTGTGCGACATGAATGATAAGCTGTTTAATCGGTTTTGGGTTATTCTTTTTTTCTAAATTCTCAATCTTTTTTAAAAAAACTTCAACAATTTTCCCCTTCTCAATGGTATTGTTGCATAAGAAAGAATACCCTATTTTGGTGACCGCAACTGAAAAGACCCGCAAGTTCTGCAACTAAAGCATCCTGCAAAGTCTTTTTATCTAGAATCTTTGCTCTATCTGTGCAGTTTTCCTCCTAAAATTCAAATAGCTTACTTGTATGAGTAATCTCTAAATTGTCTAATACGTGTTCTGTCACATAGTCGAAGAGAAAACGCATAATTGCATCTTCTGTTAAAAAAAAGGAACTTTTTAGGGTCTTGTATAGTTAAGGTAACAAGACCGATGATAATATAACTTTAAGTAAACTATGGTTTACCCAATATACTAGCTGAGTTTTCAGCTTTACTTAAACGTTTTCTTTAAACATGTTTGCTGCACTTTCTGTTACAAACTTTTCCCAGTAGGCACGGACGTAAAAATGATGTTTTTAAACGTCTTATACTCTTTTTGGACCTATTTTGAACGTCTTTTGAACGTTCAAAAGACGTCTTTTTTAGATCCGGTGCCCATTGGGTGTAAGCGTTTTATATCCGTTCCTATATTTATTAGTCTTTTTGCAATAGCAAATACAACACTCTTTATCCGCAATAATTTTTCCTGAAACAAAGGAATTATTTTAATTTTGAAGTAGTTCATAAAACATAAAAAAACGTGAAAACTGAGGGCAATATTATTTGCTTTGCATTTCACACTCAAGGGTTTTTTAATTTACCTGATCTATTTTTTTTCCGAGCTGAGACTCTGCGCATAAATGAATATGCATAATTCACGCCTACATTCTCGTTGACATTTTCTGCTCTATTTTTCCGATGTTATAAAATGTTTAATGTTTTTATATTCACATTCTTATCGTAACATCTTTGATGAAATAAGAAAGTTGATTGGTACGTATCAGCAGGTCCGTATCCAGCATTATTTGGTCTTCGAGATATCTAACTTCCAGACATGGAGCAAACTCCAAACATTTATATGTTTATAATTATGTCAAATAAGGATGCTTTCCAAAAAAAATGATGATTGGAGCTTAGGAACAAAAAAGCCCTAAAATTTGTGTTCCCCCAACCTAAACGTTAGAGCAACAAGTTAATGAAATTTTTTTTTTTACTTTTTTAAACCAGACTTATATTCATCAATAGATTTTAAACTTCAAAGTAAAATATTTCATCGTTCAAAAATTTTCTAATTTTAATTTTCGCAGTTTCTTATTATTACGACCAACTTCACCTTGATGAAGTATACAAGCATTTTTAATTTCTTTTTTAGGAACCAGATTAAAATGCTGCATTTTTGGCTACTCGCCATTATTTAGTTTAATAATAATAATTTAAAAAAAATAAAAAAACAGGTTTTTTTAGTTTTATGTTTTATATTTTTGCAACAACCGTTTCTTTTAAAATGATTGCAGTTTGTTATGCAAATGTTTTGTTTTATTTATAAAAATGACTTTGATTTTTTTCTTTTATTTATTACGGTAATTCTTTACTTTTAAAAAGAATTGTTATGAAGAAAGAATATGTTATCAAAGGATAACGTAAAAAAAAGCAAACAGTTTTTAAAACCAATTTTAAATCTCTCTATCGGCATCAGAAACACGCAGCTCGCATAATTAATTTTGGAAATCGTTTTTCAAGCTCAACACCACTTCTTATAGAAATAAAAGCTTTAAATATATACGAACTAAATATTTTTAATATTTTATGTTTTATGTTTAAATGTAAAGAAAATTTATCTCCAAGTGTATTTATAAATCTCTATAATTTGAAACCAAAAAACAAATATGAACTTCGTGATAGTAAAAATATTCAAGAGCCGTTTTGCAAAACAAAAATTGACCAGTTTTGTATTTCTTATCGTGGTCCATTTCTTCGGAATAAAATAGTTTTACCTAACTTTGATTTTTCTTTTAAATGGCCTTATTCCTCCTTTAAAAAGAAAACAAAAGAAATAATCTTTTCAACACAAAATATATTTATTTATTTTTAGTATTTCAAGTTATTTGATATTTTTGTCGACTGTGTGATGAATATTATTTAAACAATATATGCTGAATACTTTATATTACAATATTGTTCAATATTGAGAATGTTATATATCCATATTATAAAATATTATGTTAAAACTTGCTTAACATCTGAAGAATATTCTAACGCTTATGTAATTTTTAATATTTGTAAATTTTCTACCTTTTAATTCGTTATATAGATTGTAAAGGGCTTCATGATAAGATCATGTGATCTTCTGGAAGACTAAAAGTCATTGTTTATAAAGACCACTTTTCCTTTTAGTTTCTCAGCATTTTTCAAAATTTACTTGACAGTTGAAGAATAACAGTTTTAGTTGGACTGGAAACAAGTTACAGTACTTCAACACTCGATTTTATTATTTTTCTGTCTAGTCTAGGAGACCCAGTGTTCATAGCACAGGACAATCATTAAAAAATATATAATGCAGACATGACTTAACAGAGTTTAATATATAACACACAAGCTACTTTTTCCAAACAAAGCCTAATCACATTTCAGTTTTAAAAATTGAAACAAATAAAATGAAAATATGCACAATTAGGTTTGATCATATGATGAGCTGCGGTTTGTCAAAACGACTGTACAACTTTAAGCTTTTTTTTGCAAATTAAACGCATTTGATTAATTTTTGTTCTTCCAGTATTAATTGATAAATTATATTATTTATTATTCATTAACTCATAAATTTAATAAGGATTATATACACAGGGGTCAAAATAGGGGCTGGACAATGGCGCCCCTTGAACTGTTTTTGAGATCTATTTGAGCGGGCCAACTAACGAACGGTCATATTTTTAGACGAAATACTTGGTTGCCTCCCATTGGTGGAAGGGAGGCAACCAAGTATTTCGTGGGGCGCCAATGTCTTGGACCTGTTTTAATTGATGAATAAAATAAGTTCAAATATTTTTTAAAGAGTAGTTTTATGATTTTTCACACTATTCTTCCCTGAATAGTTTGGTTCTAACAATACGTAAAAGGTACGGCACAACCCTATCTCATTTAAACCTGGTTCAGCAGGGGTGTGTATCACATAAAATATTTTAGATATTAAGATAATTATCATATCTTCAGTACTATTTTACTAGTAATACTTTTAAAATCGTTTAAAATAAGTAAATATTTCCTAAAGCATTGTTTTCGTGAAAAATAATAAAATCTTTTAGATACAATATTCATATACCGTGCAAACAATATATATATATATATATATATATATATATATATATATATATATATATATATATATATATATATATATATATATATATATATATATATATATATATATATATATATATATATATATATATATATATATATATATATATATATATATATATATATATATATATATATATATATATATATATATATATATATAGCAATTATCTACAAAACCAAAAAAAAAATCGAAAATCTTAAAATAAAGAAAATAAAAAGCAAGTTAAACAAATGAAAGCTTTAAAATTGCGTATTTTAAAAAAAAAACATTACAAAAATAGCAACAAAAGTGGTTCTTTAAGAAAAAAAGCTATAAAACAAAAATTCAGCAAAATAAGATTTTTTTAAAGCAGTTAAATCCAGTAAAATCTTTTTATTCAAACTTTTAATACCTTTAAAAAAAAAGTTGAAATAATTTTTAAAATTTAAATTCAATAACCCAATATTTATAATGAAGTTGATACTTTTTGAATGCAAACCAGCAAATTTCTTTTCAAGATGATAATGTTCAAATGACAAAAAATTGTATAACGAATTCAAAAGGATTTCATAACGGATTAATCTTGGTATCACGTTTTCTAGAACATGTTTAATCTTTTTTTTTTTTTTTTACTCACTTTCATCAGATAAATCTTTCTTCAATTGATTCTCATCTGCTTCAAAGCTCTGTTTTTCATAATCATGAAAAACATCATTCTTTGTTTCTAGAAAGATCTTATCGTGAATTTCATTTGACAAACAATTTTCAGGATTTGATAAATCAAATTGATTTTCATTGACATTAAAATGAAAGACGGATGCATACTTGCTATTTTCATCAGCCAATGATTCATCAGAACTAGTGATATTAGGTTGGAAATCTTCATTATTAGCGCAATCTGATTGGTTTTCGTCGCAAAGTTTAGTATCCACAACTGAAAAATTATTGTAAATTTCTAAAGGTTCTTTTGTGAATATTATTTCTGAACGTTCTTTGGTACAAAGTTCTGTGTCACATAAAATCTCATTTGTAACATTTTTCTCCAAAATATTACAGTTATCATCAAGGTATTGAGTGTCTGAGTAGTGAAATTTATTGAAACTGGTAATATCAGCTTGTTCAATCTCATATCTATGGTCACAACAACTAACAAGGTTTTGATCCCTTTTTTCAAGCTCATCACTACCCAAATGAAAATGATCGAGACTAGTCTCTCTTATACAAACATTGTCAAATGTATTTTTGAAATTATTTTCTAAAGTTGGATTATCTGAACCATCAGTCAACTGAATATCATTTTTATTTTCAACTTTATTATCTTTATCAATTAAAACTGATGCTTCAATAAATTCTGTTTTCTCAACTAAGCTTGCATTTTCATAAGAATCATCATTTGAAGATACTAAGTTATTTAATACCAAGGAGCTTTTATCATTATTTAGCATATCTTCACATAATTCATGAGCCATATCAGAATCTTTAAACGAATCATACACATAAGTAGAACCAACACAGGAGTTTTTATTATCTTTGCATAAATCATTATCAATTATATCTTTGCATAAATCATTATCAATTATATCTTTGCATAAATCATTATGAATTTCTTTGCGTGAATTATGAGTAATATCATGCACACATGAATCTTCACATGAGTTATGAACATAATCTTCGCATGAGACCTGAACAGAATCTTCAAATGAACTTTGAACATAAACAGAACCTTCACAAGAATCGTTTGCATAATCTTCACATGATTCATGAACATTAACAGAATTTTCATATAAATCAGATCCATTTTCATTATTATTGAAGTTATTATGATCAACAGAATCTTCAAATGATTCATGAACAATAACAGAATTTTCATATAAATCAGATCCACTTTCATCATTGAAATTATTATGATCAACAGAACCTTTACATGATTCTTGAACATTACCAGAATTTTTATATAAATCAGACCCATTTTCATTATTGAAATTATTATGATCAACAGAATCTTCACATGATTCATGAACAGCATCTATACCTACAGGATCTATACATACATGATGAATACTTTCAGGTTTCACAATATGTGCATTACAATCTTGATTATCTACATAACTATCATATAGGTTATTGTTATTATTGTCATTATGCCCTTCATAATCATCAACGTTATCTTCACAAATATCATCTTTACAACATTCATCTTTGCCATATTGATCATCGAAAAGGTTCTTATTATTACAACTTTTCATTTCATTTTCGCCAACATTTAAATAAATCTCTTCACTAGTCTCTTCACAATTTTTATCTGATAAAACGTAGTTTGCATCATTTGTTGCATCATTATAATTTGCATCATTTTGATCAAGATAATCAAGTAGTTCTTGTTTATTTATTTCCAATGTTTTATTTTGAAAATTTGCTGTATCAACAAGCTCAGGGTTTAGTATAGTGTTTCCCATCAAATTTGCTGTATCAACAAGCTCAGGGTTTAGTATAGTGTTTCCCATCAAATTTGGCTCACCTTGCTCATCATGATCATTAGCATCTTTTATTCTTTTGATCCAATTTTCATTTTCATTTATTTCTAGATAATATAGAAAGTGAAACTGTTAAATAACATGATTTAAACTTTTTTTTATAATTTTGTTTAAGAATTTTGTTTTTAGTTGCTTCTTTTGATGTTTCAAAAAATGAAGCGTTTGAGGTTTTTGTTCTTCTGCTTTAATGTTCTTCTGTTTCTAAAGTGATGTAAGTTTTGTCTTTAGTCTTTTCTTCTGCTTCAGGAGTTTTTGAAGAGTTTTGTCTTTTGTCACACTTTTGTTGCTGCTTTTGGTGTTTATCATGTGTTTTGAAGTATTTTTTGTTTGAAGTTTTGAGTAATGTAGATAGTACAGTAGAGTTTATTCAATACTCACACTTTCTATAAAATAGTATGTTCTTTTTAGAGTTATTATAAAACAATAAATAATACTTTAAATATTAAAAAATCATTTACAAAAATTAAAGAAATAAAAGCTAATACAGCTTTTACACTATTTTTAATATTACTATTTCAAATTTTTTCTTGTTGAATATTTGCTAAAAAAATTTGTTTTAATGTTCTGTATAACTTGGTTGCTAACAAATTATTCTGTTATCAAAAATAAAAAGAAATATAAATATAAATTGTAAAATATACAAATTTTGTAATCTTGTAAATCATGTTTCTGTGCAACAAAATTCAGTCATTTGATACACTGTGATTAAATGTTATAATGACATTTGCTGGTACAATGTGCTGATGTGATGTACTGGTGTGATGTAACAGTTGTGGTGTCCTCCAGGATATGACACATTTGTCATGTACTGCATGTGTGTTCAGTGCAATGATGTTGTTATGTATTATGAATAAAAGTTCAATGATTCATGTAAAAATGAAGAGTTAAGAAAAAAATGATCATCAAGAAATTTATTTTCTAGATTACTTTAATCTTAAAACAAGATTAAAGTAATCTAGAAAAATTATTACAATAAAAATTAGATTACAGCAATCTGCATCAGATTACAAAATATTAAAGTAAAAGTAACCATATCAAGACTGTGTATTTTGTTAAAGAAGATCTTCAGTTAATTCTTAAAAAATAAAGAGTTTAAACCACGATAAGCACAAGACATATAATACACATGATAACCATTGATATAAATATTGTGATAACAACTGAAACATATAAATTAATTTTTGATCTTATGATCTTTTGCTTACAAATATTATTTTAGCATGAAAGGATTGCTCGGGCTTTTGCAAAAATGTTTTTAAAATTTAAAATATCTCAAAAACATCCAAATACTATTATGTAAAACTGCACAACTTCAAAATTGTTATTTTTTTACTTACTAAAATGTAAAATTTTTAGACAAAAAATCTATGAGGCAAATATTCTTTATTATAAATTTAGTTTTTTTTTAATACAACATACAACTTATTCAAGGAATTACATCTTTTAATTAAACGTATGCAAAACTTTTAGTTTGCATAAAAAATATCAAAAGGTGGCAACAATTGGAGAGGAGGCAACAATTGGAGCGGTTGCACCAACATGTTGATGCCACATAAAAAATATTTGATTTTAAAATTTAACAAAGTAAGGGAAATTCTATTTATTAAAAACAAAAACAGCACCTTTTAAATCTATATAAGTTTTTAATGTAGAAATTTAACTTAGATATTGCATAACTTAACTTAAATATTGCATAACTTAACTTAGATATTGTATAACTTAACTTAAATATTGCATAACTTAACTTAGATATTGTATAACTTAACTTAAATATTGCATAACTTAACTTAGATATTGCATAACTTAACTTAGATATTGCATAACTTAACTTAAATATTGCATAACTTAACTTAGATATTGCATAACTTAACTTAGATATTGCATAACTTAACTTAGATATTGCATAGCTTAACTTAGATATTGCATATATTGAAAGAAAAATAAACTTTAAGAGATGCATGCAAAATAAATGTGTGAAGTAAGTCTGTGTCTAACATAATAAAGTAGAAATACTTTTAAAAAAATTATTAAAAAAATATATATTTGAAATTTATAAATTATCTTTTACGTTTTAATTTTTTTTTATTAAAACAATTTAATTTTTACATAAAAATTATTTTTTAATTTATAATATAATAAGGTAACTTTTATATTAATTTAAATTTATATTAAAATAATTTAAGTTTTTTAGATTAATTTAAATTTATATTAAAATAATTTAAATTTCTTATATTAAATTTAAATTTATATTAAAATAATTTAAGTTTTTTATATTAAATTTACTGTTAAGTAATTTAAAAAAATGAAATTTTACCTGAAGATTCAGAAATAATATGAGATTGTAAAACTTCAAGATCCTTATTTTCAGAATCCATTGGTTCATCGAGCGAAGTGCTAAATATAGGTTTTGAAGAAGCTTCATCATAACAACTTGTTGGATTTGTCACATCCAAAAATTTTTGCTTTCGATTTTCAATCTGTTCTTCATTTTCTTCATCCAAATGCTCTTCACTTGGAGGATGACTAACTTAAAATAGCACACACATATATATAATTATTATTCTGAAACTAATAATTTAAATATAAAATTGGTATGTATAATTTATGAATAAAATTTATTTAATGTTTTCAAACATATTTAATAAAACTAGTCAGACATTAACAAGGGAGTTTTCAGTCAGTATTGATGTCCCCCCCTCTCTTAATATCTCATTAAACATTTTCAAAAAAATATTTGTAAAATCTTACTTTAATTATAAGCTATATATAAAACACGTGTGACATATCTCAAAATTGAATGATCTAACACCACATAATTAAATTTCTCTTTTTATTTGAAAAACATAAAATTAATTATGTGATACAAAAATGCACACGTTTTTGTGTACCCTGTATAATTTCTTGTTTACCCTGTATTTCTTTTAAAAATTATCACAATAATAATTCAATTTAGGAATCATCAAAAAGTTCATGTAAAAATAAAAAACAAAAACAATTTTTTTTTTTTACAAGTTAATCAAATGTTGACATAAAATATTCAGCAAGAAAGAAAAAAAAAAGAAAGAAAAAAAGTTATTAAAACACATACTTAACTCCTTAACCCTTTTTTTAAACTATTTAAAAATATATATAATAAAAATACTTTTAAGTAATGTTATTAAAAAACTATTTTATCATACCATAGCATGGTTTTAATGTTGTAAAGGTTGTATAAAGGTTTTAATGCTTATTTAAGGTCCTACTGAATTTTTAAGAAAATGCTTTGAGAAAACGACAATATGTTAAGTAAACTCTATGCATAACTGATTATTTTTTGGTAACATCTTAATAAAGGTATTCTTTTTATTTTGAGAAAAAAATCTACCATTAAATCATAAATATTATGCCATCAAAATTGAGTTTCAGTTGATTGTACAAGAGACGATAACTCACTTAAAAAAAGTTTGACTTTATTTTAGAATAAATTTAAACTAATTTTAAAATGTGGTTTATATTTTTATTTAGTATTTATATAAGCAATGATTTTTAATTGCAATTTTTAATAGCATTTTGAATGATTATTTTTATTAAGGAAAGTTTGAACAAGCACAAGTTGTTGTTATTAAATAACAAATAACAATAAACAATATATAATTTTCCAATCTATTTTTTAAATAAATATTTGTTAACCACCCAACCCATATTTTGCTATTACACCAATATTCTAAGTTCAGTCATATTTTCATTTAGCAGTTTAAAGTCCATTATCTTCACTTTAATTTTACCTCATTTCATAGCGTTTTTACAAGCCTTCTAAATAAAAACCAATATTTTATACTTTATGATAAAAAAAGTAATGATCAATTTGATTGGCCACATAGTCACTTTGCTTATCACAGTTCATGTTTAGGAGCCATAAGGTTGAAATAGAGTTCTAATTTCTAAATTTTGAGTTTTAATGACTATAGTGGCATCCTGAAATTTGAGAAAAAAATACTAAAAGGGAGAAAAAATGAAAAAAAGAAAATAAATGTAGAAATAAAGAAATTAAAAAAAAAAGCTGTACATTGTATGAGTCTCAAAAAAATGAAGAAAGAATTTCATAGCATATTTAAAAAAAAAACTATAGACAGTAAAAAGAAGACAGTAAAAAGCAACTAAAATTGAACTTAATGACTTAACGACTGAACTTAATGACTTAATGACTGAACTTAAATATTTGATTGAAGAGATACTGAGTTTTGGTCAATGGAACAAAAAATAAAAACAGCAAATGTGATAGAAAATGGAATCAGAAGTAATAAAATGCAACTTTAGATGCTAACTTTGCAATTTTAGCAATTTTGTATGTAGTTTTCATAAGAGGTAATTAGTGAAAGATATTCCAAGAAGTAAAAAAGTAAAAAGTGTTGTTATTTATAAATATAGGAATATCAATAATATTGCAAACAATTATTAGCAACAAACAATAAAAATTTATATAAAGTATTTAGTTGTGTCATCAGCAAATGCTTTAGAGGTAAGATTATTAGAAATATGAATATAGATGAGAAAAAGTACAGGACCAAGAATGGACTTTTGTCATAGCTAAAAGATTACTGGAAAAGAAGGTTTAGTTCATCAAGAATAATACGATATAATTTTTGATAATTTATGATATATAATTTATGATTATGATATGAAGCATGCTTTTGAAGAAAATTAGCAAACCAGATTTTATTCAAAGCTTTTGATGTGTCAAAAGTAATAGCCCTTTCTTTACAGCTTCGATGCACAAGATAGTTATTCAATTACAATATTAACAAGTTAACAATAGAACAGGAGTATCAAAACCTGCATTGATGGTTAAAAAGTAAATTGATGGATTTAACATGAGATATTAAAAGTTTGTTAACTAAAAACTCAAAAATAATGCTAATAATAATTTTGTAGTAGGAAGAAATCAAAATAATTTTCAGAGTTTTTCAAAATTAGAACCACAGATTCCATTTTCCAGCAGGCAAGAAAGATTTAGTTTAAACACTTGTTATGTAACTTGTAGAATATTAAAAAGGAGAACACTTCTTGGAAAACATTTTGTTAGTCTGTGACAGGAATGTTGTCACATGCTGCGAGGAGTTTAAATGAGAACTTTATTTGTAGACAAAAATGAAAATTAATATATAATGAAAATTACCAATTACTTTAATATTAGACACAAAAATGCATACAACAAACAAAATAAAAGTTTTGTACTAAATATCACTTACCACTCGATTCCTTTACTTCAGCAGCACATTCTTCTGTTAAGATATTTGTCAGAGAGCTTGTAACAATAGCAGGTGTCTCATCTAATGGAATGACTGCAGGTATTTCATTGTGTATACGATTCTCAATAAAACTTTCCACAACACCTTCTATATGCTGCACACTTTCTGTATGCACATTTTCTTCAACATGTTCATTTTCAGGTGAATCCAAGTTATTTACTTCATTTAAAATACTTGGTTTCAATTCATCTACAACTTTGTCTGATTTGTCTGAATCTTTAACAGTATCAACCTGCACAAAATCATTATGTTTTTCAGAAACTTCTACT